TTGAAAAATTGCAAATTTTTGTGCAGAATATCATAAAACTTGAAAATCAATTATGCATTGTTTGCCAAACTTGAATTGTTCACTAAACAGACAAGCATTAAGTTAAAAAACAACAACAACCAAACAAAACAAAACAAACACTACAAATTTAATAACAAGTTGTGGCATTTCAAGCTATAAATCTATTGAATATTATATAAAAGGAAACAATCTAATAATGATAGTAATTATCAATGTTGTTGAGAGAAACATGCAACATATCACATACAATCCAAGACTAACCCAAAATTATATATATATATATATATATATATGTACATATTGGTTTAAACATGGTTAAATTAATTACCAAGATTAAGTTACTACATGATTCAACAAAAAGGGGGTTTGAGTTTCTGATATTTCAAAGCCATGATTGTGAACAAGAGAGCAAGTAGGAAACCTACAAAGACATGGGGCTCATTTCCACAACCACAACAAAGTAGTAGTATTACTGTGGCTCTGCCAGCAACAGTGGCACCCACCCACCTACCCACCCACATTAGCTGAAGAAGAAGCAATGGCACCTACATACACCCTTGGATTCCCCCGCCCTCCTGCAATTGGCCCTGGTGGGGTGGGATGGCAGGTACATGGCATATATACGAAATACGAATACATAAATACACACAATGTACATATATACATGCACACATCAGCAGCAGCAGGGGCATCTTCATTAACAAAAAAGTGCCAATAAACCCCCCCCAGCAAGCATCCCTTCCTTTACCTTTAACCTTACTTTATTTGTTCTCTCTCTCTCTCTCTCTCTTGCTTGCACATACACATTCATTCCATGTGCCTGCCTATGTAGACTGCATATACATACATGATTAAATATGTAAAAAATTAAACAAGAAGGGAGTTGATGGAGTTCATAGAAATGGAGCCCAAAGCAAGAGCAGAGAGTCAACAAACAGAGGAGGACTCAAAGGGGGACTTGGTACCTGGTGGAGGGAAGGAGGGTGGGGGGGGGGGTGGGGGGATCACATGTGAAGAAGGCTCAAGCTCACACAAGTCTCCTCCATGAGGGGGGGGGAGGGGGAGGGGAGGACTGTTCCCTAAGTGGAACATGGTCAGAGAACAAGACTTGGAATGTGTGAAACATCGTAGGTCCCATTATATGAAAGCAAAAGGCTTTGAGAAACAGGAGGAGAAGGGGGGGGGGTGGGTACCTTTTGCCTTTTGCCTATCCTTTACCATATTATGCCATTGCAGGTTTGTATTATGATGGCATACTTAGAATGGCAATGGAAATGACAGCAGCTCCTTCTTACTCCTTCCCATCCTCTCCCCCACCACCACTTTGCCTGTCTGTGCTACAAACTTTGATGTTCTTATCTCTCCTGCCATTGATTTTATTTGATAGACTCACTTCACATACCAAATGGGTGTTGGTCGTGGACTTGAATTGGACAACGGCGTACTTGAAAAATGTATTTATTTATGGTGTGTAAAAAGTCTAATATGACACTCATTGTGTAGCCATTAATTAACTTGTTGCAGTTTTATTAATGAATTATACATGTATTCAAATCTCATTGAATATAGCTTCCATTTTACTTCAGATGAGTAACTTTGGTAGTTTCACCCCTTTACTTCTCATGAATCATGGGATGCGACTTAAATCTCACCAATAGTTATGAATATGGCAATGTAGACCAACTACTGGAACTGACATTGCTTATAAATTAAAATACACAAGGAGTGAGTAAAAAAAAAGGGTGGAAAAAAAACTATAATGAGTTTGACCACACAGTTAAAATCCTCAAGTATGTATGAAATCATTGTGATTGACTTTTCAACACTAGTCACATCAATTCCTTCACTATTTCTAATCATAACAAAAATATTTGTTGACAAAATCATATTTCAATAAAATTTAGTCATCTACATGTAAATACATGTGTATGTATACGTATATTTCTTGTTACATGATATATTGATATGAGTAGAAACCCATTTACTCTTGCCACTTGGAAACCATGTTCCCAACCCTAGTTTGGGATTGGGAACATGGGGCAAAACATAAAACATAATGGCAGGATAACAGTTATGTTAACATCACACATTTCAAGAGCAGATTTGATATCCATCTCAAACTGAGTTTATTGAGGAGTCCCAAAATTAGGGTTAGAGTTGGGGGGGGGGGTGCCGTCAGTATTTGCCAAGTGGACAGTGACCCAATTGGCTGTCAGTTGCCATGCTCTAAACTTGCAATCAACAAGCAGATACTTGATAACAATGTGAAGGGAAGGGGAATGCCATTTGTCGAGGCTTTCTAATCAGGATTTGTATGTGGGAACAAAATATGATAGCAACAACCCCTAATTACATCTTCTTTGTTCTTATATCCTAATCCCCAAAACATTAGTTACTAACACAGACACAATGGAAAAAGGCATTTTTAGTATTATCAGAATTTAAATCTACCACAGCAATGGGAATGCACAATCCACAAATATTTGACTTTGTTTTAGTTTGTAGCTAATAAATTTTCTATTGAGATGTCTTCCTGCTTTTATTTTTTTATTTATTTTTGCATAGCAGTTTCAATTGGGGCAATGAATCACAAACCTTTTTTATTTTTTATTAGAGCAACATGTGCTTTTTTCTTCTTCTGTAGTTTCCCCACTTATTGACATTATTATTATTATTATCATCATTATTATAAATTAAGGATATATTAAGCTTGATGTTATGGCACAATTCAAAATTGGTGCCATTTTATCATTGCTCAAAACAGGAGTTTTTTTTTTTCTTTTTTTTTTCTTTTTTTTTCATCATTATTATTATTATTAAATGTGTGATTGTTTGAAAGTGTTAATGCATATGAACCAATTCAGCCCATCCAGCACAAGAAGCATTTTGTTTTCCAAGCAAAGGGAAGTCATAATCCAAAGGCCAAGATGTACATGGTTTTCTTTTCCAACCCACTTGCAACTGTGACATATTTTAAAGCAAACTCATCTTTGATGTTAGAATGTGGACATAGTGTGCATGTGTATCATGTGGTGATGGTAACTGCCCACAATTTGAACACAAAAAAATACCAGAGATCCCAAGCCCACGTAAGTTGGCTTCCATCTTGTTTTGTTCAACCAATGTCTTGTGCTTTGAAACGTTCCTGTTTGTGCACATGTGTCTACATATCATTATAACATAAGTTTCAATATTCACTGACACACATTACTTTCTCAGGTGATTCAATCAAGTTGGGACCTAAAACTTGTGTACTATTTTTACTTAAGTAGATAAAATTCAAAAAGTATGTGTATACACACACATATACATACATGTATATTAATGAGATTCATCTAATTTTATTTTTAATTATTACTAATAAATTATTTTGTCCTTTGGGTGTAATTCATATAGTGCTTTTAAATTTATATCTAAAATATATGTAATTTGAAACAAATCAAACATACTAAGATCTACTCCAGTGTGTACTTTACTTGATATAAATTTGATAATATTTGAAGAGTAAACTTTGAAAGAAAACCTAATGTTTGAGTTATAATAATATGTAAGAATACAAGATTTTTTAGAATCACATTTATTTGTTTTATTTTATTTTAACTTTTTTCCCCCAAAGGAATAGAAGTTATACAATGAATGAATGATGCTACCACACCATAATGCTGCTCACCAATTGTGATCCCAATCATGCAGCACACTTTGGAAACAAAAGCTGCCAAAATTGTGGCTCTGCTCCCACATTTGGCCAATACTTGGCTCCTTCTTTGCATCTCTTTGTTCCATTCCTTTGGGCTGCCTTCTTCTTATGCTTTATTATATATATATATATATATATATATATATGTATGCTTTATTATATTTATATATATATATATATATATATAAAAACAGAGAGAGAGAGAGAGAGAGAGAGAGCATGGAACAACCCAATCATAAAGAGCACATGCGTATTTGTAAATATTTGTAAATATAAATATACACAACAAAATGGATTGCATAACAGAAGAGGTTGTAATAATGCTACAATCAGAAACGTTTTGGGTGTTGCGAACAACTTTTTTGAATTGTTCTATCAATAGCCATTCCACAAGAGTTAAAAGACGAGGTGACAATTTTGCTATTAGTGGTGTTGCAGGAGGTATATATATATACATATATATAGTTTAAATCTATTTGTTCATTTATATTGTAATGAAAAATACTATATTTAATACATTTGTCATAAGAAATATATTATTGGCTAAAAGGAAAAGCTTTGCAAAAGAAATACCATTTATTTCTTTTATTTCTTTTATTAAATTGATTTTCATGCAAGTTCTTAAGTGTGTATATATGTATACTGAAACCTCATATTCTTTATGCTGTATTATATAGAATAAGTTGAATCACATCCTGTATATTCATTGGGAAATGCCAAAACATAAAATATTTAATCTTTTTAAAGCATCATATAATATATGTTTGGTGGATGGATATAATTTTTAGTGGCGATATTCTTTATTATTTAAATCGTGCATGAATTGGAAGTCATACGAAACATTTGCAGCATTTTATAGTACACTTATTGTCACAGATTTTTCAAAAAGACACTTAAAAAATAAAAATAATCATATAATATTATATTCCAGTACTATTAATATAATTAATCTAAATTATTTATATAAATTTAAATCAGACTTTAAAAGGCACAAGATTTTAATTTATATTAGTTATATTTAATATCTACATTGCTTATACAAAAATTCAAATGCACACAAATAATGAGCCTTGCTTCAATAACCTACACTTCTCAATGCTACTCATCATTTCCTTCCCAATGCATGCAAAATTCTAAAATCTAACATCCTTGCATCTTCAATCAGATTGACAAAGTTACAATTCCATGGTTAACTTTCAGCAACACCAATATTCAAGTTGGTTCAACACACACACAAAAGACAAAATTCAAAAATAAATAAATAAAAAAAATCTAGCTCCAATATGTTAATTAAGCAATAGTTTAACAACTCATAAAGACACCATGATATATGAAAACATATGTTCAATCCCTCTCTCCCTACACATAAAAACACATGAATAAACGAAAGTAAACATAAACATAGTCACAATGAAAATAATGCAACGAAGTTCGTAAACAAAATCAGCAACATCCAGTGTCGCACGCAAGACGAAGAAATGAGGTTCTTCGTCTGTCGTCTCCACCACCATTGGTGGTGGTCGTCATGGGAGCCAACATTCTTCGTCGTCGTCGTTGCAGTGAGTGATGCTGCTGCTGGGCAATCTGCCACTCACCCCTGGCCCCTGCTTCACGATTCGGCGTCTGTGTGTCTGTGTGTCTGTCTGTCTGCAGTCAGGCCCACAATTGGAGCATCAAAGTCATCGCATGTAATGCTTCTTCTTTTGTCTTTTTTCCATTTAAGTAGAGAAGAAAAACATGTGGAAAACACAGAAATATATATATATATATATATGAGAAAGGAATGGGGGGGGGGAGACCATCTGGAGGGAGGGAGTAGGTGAGAGGTTAGCCATGGCGATGGCATGTGCCCCCAAGAAAGCCGATTCATCCTGATCCTTAGCGTGAAAGCGAAGCTTGCTGCAAGAGAGTGAGAGAGTGTCTACACTAGCCGATGCCGAAGGGTGTCAATGCGGGCCTTTTTCAGTGGGTTCCTCAGGGATTGTGTGTACTACGTTTTCTGGATCCTCAATTGATTCTCGCTAGGTGCGGTACCACTCATAACGGACGTGTACAGTACTGGGCGCCCGGTGTGCACCACGTGATTGGTATTTGCAATTGAGACACTTTGCCAACGTAAGATTCGCACAAGGGCTGAAACGATCTGTAACATCCATTAGAGTTTAATGCGGCAGCTCTCTGTGTTCATAGGACTTGGGGAGGACGGGCGGACGGGTGGCGGACGGGTGTGTTCATAGGACTTGGGGAGGACGGGCGGACGGGTGGCGGACGGGTGGGACGGAAGAGGGAGGAGGAGGAGTTTCAGACGTCGGTGACGCCCTGGCAGAAAAATGTGAATCCAATGCGTAACCCTAATTCCCTTAGGTCCTGTCGGACGGGTGCGTCAACGATAGTGGCTGAGACCTTCGGTGGACGTGCAGACCCAGAATTGAATTCAGGACTTCATGCAGCAATTTGGGTGGTGATGAACTGCGTTGTTTTTTTTTTGATTGAATGCTAGTTTCTCAGCTGCTGGATGAAAGGACTGCTCAGTGTCCAAATGCGACAACATGCAGGCGGTGGTTCAGTGGTTGTGGCCCTGGCGTTGTGTCCAGAGGGGGGTGCTCTTGATTGTGCCCCAAAAACGTGGGGCTACGAAGAACTTTCAAACCTGAGTGAGTATCAGTTCCCGGGAGTCAATTTGGGAGAGATCCAGTTTGTAGGCTTCCATGTGTGCGTTGGCAGATAATTCCATGAGGTTATGAACAGTAGATTTGACCCTACGAGCAGATGAGTAAGAAGGAATCTTCGTGACCTGAGAATTTGTTGCCAAAAGCTTTGAAGTTTGTCAGACCTTGACCTCAGTCAACCATGGTTGCTTGTAGACCAATGTTTTAGCTGTGCTTCTCTTGGGGATGAGGAACGGATTTTGAGAAGAGGTTGAATCTTTAAGCAACTTCATACATAACTCTATGTCATGAACATGAAGTAGCTATAGGCATAAGGACCAGAGCCACTGTCTATCAAATCTTTTGTGAATTCTATCGTAGGCTTTCCCTTTAATTAGCATTCGCAGCTGCCGCACATTGAAATGAGACGCAGACCTATTGATAAGGTCTTAAGCTTCAGTTCGGGCAGCAGGCCGTACTTACCCCTGTGATCTAATGTGAAACAGTGTATCGATTTGTGGGGGGGCGGGGTTCCAATATGGAGACTATTGCAACGAAGGCAAAGATTGTGTCAAAATCTATATACTGCTCGTGGAGTGATAAGAGCTGAAAGCAACTACAATCGGACGCTCTAATAATATACACACATGCAGTCATTGGTAAAGGCATGGAGCCAGGGTATAATGTAAAGAATGGCGACGACGCTCGATCTCACTGGGGAGAATAATCTCAAAGTAGCTTTAACATTGGTTGGAGGCTTTTGTCACACACCCTGCACAAGGAACTTCACGGCTTGTCCTCACCGAATCATCTCCGACTTTTAAAAAACGTGCTATTCCAATGGGTCAATCAATAAAGAATGGAAACGGAGTCCGGACAGTGCTACTGAAAAATCTGCGTCAACGTACACAGCAGCCACTGCTGGTTGTGGCACTAACAAGGCTCTTCGTTGCGAAACCTGAGGGTATCACCACCTGACGTGGAAAACAAAACTCAACATCATTCTATATATATATATATATATATATATAATAATAATAATAATAATAATAAGAAGAAGAAACTTGGAATATGTCCACATTTCCACAATGGTCTTTGTCTTCAAGGACTGCAACCATAATAGTCCCACAGTCCCAAGTCCTTGTCCAAAAGCACATTCGGCCCATCGAAGCTCCTCCTCACGGGCTCACGCACTGCCTACGGGGATTTCAGAGGGTGCGCGAGCGTACGGGACACTGGCAGGGAACGAAACAAGTATGAAGGTCACGATACCACCACCATGATCACAGTGAAAGAGCAATCTCGCAACGAAACGCATGACCCATCCTCGTGCATCTCAATGCGCGGCCTGTAGGCGCCAAAGTACACAGCGCAGGCTCTGAGCACGTCCCCCGTGCAGCCTGCAGGACAGGCTCCGGATGCTGCATCCCCCTGCCCACGTTCTTCTCCGTTCCCGTTTGCAGCATCACCAGCAACACCAGCAGCAGAGAAATCCCACGGAGCTTTGAAGCTTCACGGAGCCTGACTGAGGCTGATGATGATCTCGCTGGACCTGCAGCAGCAACAACAGCAGCAACAGCTTCTGAGCCTTGAGAGGAAACACTGCTTGCACACTTAGCATGAAATTTGCATGAACTATTCACTTAACTTCTGTGTGTGTGCGGTGTTTGTTTCAAGTCCCTTTTGCATTGTTTATGACATGAGTGGAGATACATTATGAAGTGGAATATAAAAAACTTGTTTGGATTTAAAAGAGTAGATGTATAGTAATAATAAAGTAGTGAAACATCTTGAAATGAAACATGGTTGGGTGAATTGATTGTTGCTGTTTTGAATTGGTGGGTAGTGTTTTGGGTGATTGAGCAAGGTAATGGAGAAACTGAGAATAAGTTGGATTTAAATTGTAGGAATGATGGTCACGTTCAATCATGGTAAATGTATGTTGATTGTCTTAATGCTGTGAAATATTTTTATATTTGATACGTTTTAACTAAAATTCCATGTGTCTTTTTAAGATGCATAAAATTAAAATTAAAATGATGCTTATGATTTCTATTTTTTTATGAAAATGAAATAAATTGCATAGACTGTTTTGTGTATGCTTACATCATGAGATTATAAGATTTATATTCAGCAAAATCATTTTTTTTAGTTAAATGCACACAGATGATCATACAATAGCATGAATTATAAATTATGTTATGTTTTTTTTCTTCCTCTCCCAAAAAGAGAAACTGATTTGATTCTTTTTAAGCATTTACTGCTGAGACAATCCACTACTTAAAGAAACATGAAAGATTTTATTAGGATGGTGGCAAAGTAGTTGTCAGATATTGTGTTAAAAGAACGATTTCAAAGAAAACAAAGATTGAAGCCACAACGAGAAGGATAAATGAACATATTATTAAGCTGTTAAGGTTAACTTTGATTTATGAAAAAAATACTGTTATCAGAGTAGTTTTTACTTGCAACTCTTATACTAAGAGAAATCTCTGTAAATTCTATGTTAAATTTGATAATTTATATATATAACATAATTAGAAAACATAATATTTATTAAGGAAAAAATTCAAAATGTTAACCATCTTTCGATTATACATTTAAAAAGAAAGTTTTATGATTACATTGTATTTTTTAAAATTTGTAGAGGATCAATAACACAAAAGGGAGAACACAACTTCACTAAGAATCACTGAAGCCAATGAATGAGACGCTCAACATTCCTCGCCCTCTCCGCTCTTCTTCTTCTTCGCCTTCTTCTTGGCTGTCAGGGAGTTATTTGTTGCTGGTGTTGTTGTTGTTGTTATTTAATTTTACTTTTTTAACTTGCTCCTTTTCCCGCTACCTGTTATCATTATAGCCCGGGACATACTCATTCCATAGTCAGACTCCAGACACTGAGGAGCAATTCCTATACGCAGACTACCTTCGCATCGAGTGAGGCGTAGCAGGTGAAAGACAACAACACATGAGGCAAAGTCGAAACAGATGGCCAGACATAATGGATAAAAGAATAGTGTTGGTTTCTAACCTCGACAATGCGCGAATCGGCGTAGTCTGTCGAAGACAAAGGCGGGGGGGAACCTCAGTATTGCGAACAAGTGGGAGGAGTAGGAGGAGGAGGAGCGACTTGTTCAGTCAATCAATCAATCAGTCAATCAATTGGTACGTTGTTAGCTCCGTCTGCAACATGTCGGCAAACGGAGGATAGTGTCTCTCCTCATGAAAAAGATAGCGCAAGAGACGCCCAATCACACGCACAAACACACATATATCTATCTATCTATTTATATTTATGCAAATATATTTACACACACACACACAATTTTTTGCAATGCAAGTAGAAATGAGGCAGAGTGGGAGGCGAGGGGAAGAACACGGCGTTAGGGAAGCGGCGGCATGGATTGAAGAGAGCAGCATTGTCCCCGACCTACGGCGAATGCGAAGTAAATAAATTCAACTCTTCTTCCATTCAATTCCATGCAGACTCAATTGAACACTCTCGTTTTCTGCTTTTCGTCTGCACTTCTCTATTTCGTTATACATTTGCTGTTGTCAATATCACACTTTTATATTAAAGTTAGGGTTCTGCTGCATTGACCTTTAGTTCATTTTCTAATTTATCATATATGCACATAAAACTCTTACATTGTATGATGTATATTAGATTTTATTTATTTATTTATTTATTTTTAATTTTTTAATTTTTTATTACACTGAAAATAAAAATTTTAATTTTTTTTATTAATTTTTTTTCTAGTTGTTGATTTTAAAAAAAATAATGCCTAATATTTTATTAATTTTTTTTATTTACAATCCTATTTGAGTACTTATTTTTATTTTTTTCATACATAAATAAATAAATAAATATATACTGAAGGAAATTGAGATTAAATAATGTATTTTAAAATAAAATTTTGAATGCAATAATTGTTTACAACTGAATCATTATGCTTCTTTAATATAAATAATATGTTTTTGATTTGCAACTTACTTACTTATATGTTACTGTATTTATTAAAATATATCTAACTTTATTACTTAAAATACAAAAATGCTATGACTATTGGTTACAATATAAATTTCTAAACATTTTGAAGCATAACTCTATTATAAACAATTGATATTGCTAATGTAAACTGCTATGATGAATAAATATATTTATTAAATTTTTTTTAATTTAATCCTAAATTTGCTTAAGTTTTATATTAAATGTGTTTATCTTCAAATTATATATTGGTAGTTTTAACACATACCTTGTTTAAAAACACTAGACTAATGAAAAATATGCAACCATAGATTTCATTTAGTAAAATTAATGATTCTAATAAAGCTAAATGTTTCATATTTTAATTACTCAAAATAAGTGATAATTTATTACATTCTAAGTCTAAATTGAATATATATATATATATATATATATATATATATATACATATATTGTTTATCAATATGTTATATTATATCTTATGTGGATAAAATTTAATTTAGTTTATATCATGAATCGTATTACATTTTAATCATATTTTTAACAAGATTTTAATCTCATTAATATGTCCAATGGCCTAATTAGAAACTCTTACTAAATATTTACTTATATAATATATTAATAATTTAATATTTACATAAATAAAAGTATTTCTTAAAAATTAGTTACCATGCTATTGATAGATATAATTGTTTTTATGTAATACATAAAAACTATATATATATATATATATATATATATATATATATATATATATATATATAAATATAAATAATAATAATAATAATATTAAAGATACAGTGCTGAATTAAACTAGATATTTTTTATACATAGCAAAAAAATAAAAAATAATAATGTATAACATATTATAATTTTTTTAAACATAACCTTGTAAGTATCTTTTTGAAGAATTTCAGCTTATACACAAGAATGTAGACAATATTTAACAACTTTATTTTATTCATTTACATCTCTGAGTGGAAAATTCTTTAAGTCTGATAATAAATAATACAAGCATATATTGATACTTATTTAAAACATTAGTTATCTTTAAATAGTTTGTATTTTCTACAAATAGAAGATTTTTTTTGATTTTAAAAAAATTAATTTAATGAAAACACTAATTTGGGCCTAAAATTCCATTTGATCAAATAAAATAACTTGCCAAAGTTATATATTTTTTTCAAATTGGTATTTATAGGATAAAAAAATATACATATATCAAATTCAAAATCTAAAAATAACTAAATATAGAATTATATATATATATATATATATTTAGCTAATTTTATTTTTATAACTTCTATATTTTATTATTAAAATAGTTGTAATATAAAAATCCAATATCACCTCAAATAATTTTATTTATTATATTTTCTAGAAAATTAATTTAATTTTTATTTTTATGTATTAATCTATAAAAATTTAAGCATTAAGAAAAAAAATGTATGATTACTAATGTATTTTAAATTCATATTACTGTAAAAAAAAGTTATAATCTGAGCTTTTTTTAAAGAAATATTTAAGAAATTTTTTTAATTATATATTTGGATTAAAAAAATATTTATTCTCCAAAAAAAAGCATATAAAGTCTTAAGGGCATAATAATAAAAAAACTCATATATAATAGACATGAATATATATATATATATATATATATATACACATACAATAAACATACATTAAACATGAGAAGAAAGTTAGTTCTTGACATTTCATATTAAAAAATCATTAATATATTAGCTTATCTTAGTTTATTGAGCTGATTTTTTTTTTCAAAAATTAGAAAATACTTAAAATAATACATCTTTGACTTGAATAAAATTTAAACACAAAAATAACAACAAAATGATTAGGTTAAAATTATTGAATCATATAACAATTAAAAATATAATAATAAATTATATTTTAAAGAAATCAATTTTGAAGTCAAATAATATAATATAATATATTTATTTGTTAGTTATTTTTTATTTTTTTATTTTTCTTTTATAAATTTTTATTTCTTATATAAATAGCTATGTTTGTATCAAAGACGTGAATCTCAAAGAACTATATTCATATATAACAATATGGCATACATAATCTCAGAATAAGTTTTCCATATATATGCCACATTATTAGCTTATATCACAAGCTACGAAAATGTGCAATATGTGGCTAGCTTGTTAGTCAAGTTTCTAACCTATCAATCAATTATAAATATATATAAAGTCAAATATATGTCTATGAAGCTTTGCTACAAGATAATATCAAATCTACCTATGTTTACTTTCTATCTAATACTTCTTATCTATATATATATATATATATATATCCATGACATTATCTCCCTTCTAGGAATGACTTCTACAAGGAACACTCATCATCTTTTATAGATCTTGTTATTCTTTATCTTCGTTTTGATAGATGTTGTTAATAGAAAACATCAACCTTCTTTGTTGCATTTGCAATATTCTTAGTAGGCTACCATATGCCTTTATCAATAACATATCCGAGCTAATGAACAAGATATTTTTATCTATTTTAATATTAGCTTAAATCTAAGACTTCTTTGACCTCAAATTCTTAATTATTATCAACTTCTATAAGAAGAGGTAGTATTTATCTTCTTATTGAGATATTTATTATCTTATATGGCTCAAGAAGAAAAATAAAGAAATATAAGATGAATATTCATAGACTTTAGTAGATGTAATCAATAAGCAATTGAGTTGACTTATTCACAAATACAAACTGGTCCAAGCCTATAGTAATCTAATTTATGTCATAGATATACATATTTACTCCAATAATTACCTATATAATTATGTAGAAGTAGATAAAAGTAGATTAATTTTATAATACCTTTTAAAGAAGCTTTTTAAAAGCTTCATAGACGTTGTTTTGACTTTACACGTGTTTGAAGTAATTGGTAGGTTAA